TTTGATCGTGACTAAAACACCACACGAGTACATACGAGTAACATACGAGTAACACACAAGTACATACGAGTACATACGAGTAACATACGAGTACATACGAGTAACACACGAGTAACATACAAGTACACACGAGTAACATACGAGTACACACGAGTAACATACGAGTACACACGAGTAACATACGAGTAAATACGAGTACATACGAGTAAAATACGAGTACATACGAGTAAAATACGAGAATTAGCACGCTTTCTTTAAAGTTTCTTTCACTTACACACTTTCACTTTGGCTTCGTATTATGTTCATGTTGGAAATGCCTTATTGACATAGACGTACGAGACAGGGGGGCGGGGCAAACCATGGAAAACCATGGAAATTCGGGCAAACGCTAGGAAAAATCAAGAAAATTTGGGCAGATTTATCAGAAAATATGTTAAAATCAGGTTATTTCATTACAATTCTTCATGGAAATTCGGGCAAACTTTCAACTGTCATAAATAACACTTATCATAAATAATCTCACATGTGAGATTATCACTTTTATCAGTGCTCGAAGTACTATTTAAAGCACGAGTAGGAGTGTTTTATCACATATAAAACACGACGCGTAGCGGAGTGTTTTATATGTGATAAAACACGACTACGAGTGCTTTAAATGGCTTAAAAAACGACCCATCTTCTGATGAGTACATTAGCGAAGTAATTTTTAAAATAAACTTTGTCTAAACCGAGAAAATCAAAGCTAAAGTTTATGTAAATTAACATGATTTTTTATCACATATAAAACCACGACACGCTTATGATTTTTCTTTGTATTTTCCTCCTGAATTATTAATCAGTCTTTTAAATCTCTATAAAGCACTATACTTTATATAATAATATAGAATAAAGATTTGTATGTTCTAAGACTCTAAAAAGGTTTAAATGTAGTATATTGCTCACAGGCTGTCAGAGAGTTTTTGTAGTACATGAAAGTGCATGTTTGCCATGTTGTTTATACGTCTGTAGTCTATGTGTTTTGCAAATTTAATACGTCAATTGTACACCTGTTAATACGTTTTCAACAGGGAAATATAAAATGCTTAGGGTTCATTATTTATCGGTTGGGGGGGCGCTGGTAAAATAATGGGGGGGGGGATATATTTTATAGGTGTAAAATAAAAAGAGTGGTTTAAATCTTTTTAAGAAGTGTTTTGGGGAGACAATAAAATTTTATAGCATTGATATAAAGAAGATAGTATAGAGATAGTGGCGTAGCCAGCGTAAAAGGAGTGAGCCATTTTAGGGGAGGTCTGGGGGCACGCTCCCCCAGAATATTTTGAAATCTAGGGTCCCCGAAATGCGATTTCCTGCATTTCAGGGACCATCGGGGTGTGAGTTTGCATAAGTCCGAAGACTGTATAATGCATAAAAGACATGATTTTTCGTGATGGAAAATGATGGGTTAAAATAATGCGAATTACTTTTAAAACCGAATGATGATTGAAAGTAAATATATTTTACATTTAAAAACCCAAAGTAAACCCTTTCTTCTTGGGGCCATATCTACTTACTTAGACAAGATTATACACAATTATATTGTGGATTTGGATTTTATTTCACACCCCCCCCGTTGCCTAAATCCTGTCCAGCATCCCCAAGTTGAAGGTCCTCTCTACGCCCCTGGTTGTAAAGAGCACACAAAAGAATAGGATGGGAAGAACTACCATACGGCCATACTATGTTCTTCTTAACTTTAATGTTGGAGGGGGTGAAAAATTTTCAGACTGTTCTAAAGGGGCGGACTACATTTTTAAACACATTAAAAGGGAGGGTCATTTTTATTATGCTGTTTGAATTTTAGAATCCACCAGCTCCCCTAAGAACCCTAAGTATTTTATATTTCCCTGTTGAAAACAGGTGTACAATTGACGTATTAAATTTGCAAAACACATAGACTACAGACGTATAAACAACATGGCAAACATGCACTTTCATGTACTACAAAAACTCTCTGACAGCCTGTGAGCAATATACTACATTTAAACCTTTTTAGAGTCTTAGAACATACAAATCTTTATTCTATATTAATGAATTACCTTTTCTACGTCGTGCGAGGCTTCGAAATCCATCAATACGCATAGGAGAACGGGGCTGATGTTTTCTGGGGGGGGGGAGGGGGAAGTTGAAAGTTTGCCTGAATTTTTATGGAGAATTGTAAAGAAATAACCTGATTTTAACATATTTTCTCATAAATCTGTCCGAATTTTCTTGATTTTTCCTAGCGTTTGCTCGAATTTCCATGGTTTTACAAAATTTTGGGGGGAAGTTGCCCCCCCCCCCGCCCCCTGTCTCGTACGCCTATGTCAATAAGGCATTTACAACATGAACATAATACGAAGCCAAAGTGAAAGTGAAAGAAACTTTAAAGAAAGCGTGCTAATTCTCGTATTTTACTCGTATGTACTCGTATTTTACTCGTATGTACTCGTATGTACTCGTATTTACTCGTATGTTACTCGTGTGTACTCGTATGTTACTCGTGTGTACTTGTATGTTACTCGTGTGTTACTCGTATGTACTCGTATGTTACTCGTATGTACTCGTATGTACTTGTGTGTTACTCGTATGTTACTCGTATGTACTCGTGTGGTGTTTTAGTCACGATCCATTGCTGTTTCGTTGTTTAGCTGCGGATTCAACCCGTGCTATGCAAGAACAGATGCAGATGTCAGGTGCTGCAGGTATGCCTCCCGATCCTGCAAAAGCATTCAAGGTAAGTAAAGCATTGGAAATATCAGGGGTTAAAAAAACGTTTCAGAGATGCCGTATAATTAAGTTATATTGATATCGATCGGTTCGAGTTTCCAAACTACTTTTACCCATGCATGTCGGATTTATATTTGTTATCTGCATATATTTAAGGATAAAAAATGTATTGCTATGACCATGTGAGAAACGTTGTAACTCTTGAGCTAACGGTTTGCTTAGCAACGTGAAATTTTTGGCATAGATTAATTTCATGAACAATGCAATTGAGCAATTCTGAGGTCCATTTTGCCAAAGCGCTGTAGGTGGGTGGATTATTATCAGCTGTTAATAAAAAATGTTCACGTTTTCTGGTTATAACGTGATCGTTTAAACGTAAGTTTTATTTGCCAAAAACCGAGTATATGGGAAAAGTATTGGTCATAATGGAGCAAAACTTTGGAATGCCTACCGTCCGAGGTTAAAAATGCCGCATTAAGATTCTCCAGTTCGCTTGCAAATAACACTAATTGACTCCAACACTCCATAGATCCGTCTTATCTTATCAGTCCAGTCATGTTTCATGCCAGGACATGTTGGAGATGTCGGATTTACGGTTTTGAACTCCTTGGAAAGTTTGCATGTCATGATGGTATGGTACCAGCAAAATGTGCAGATGGCGAATCCCTGCATGCGTATATTCACGTGTTATATGGCAGAAAATAGATAAGTTTTGACGTACCTCCGGTACAACCTCCAGGCCAGCATAATTCATGAAACTCAGTCTCTCAAACATATATTTCACAAATCCATATGAAATTTTAGTCTTAAGAAGATAATGTCATGTTGGCATAATCCCATGTAGATGTTGAATTACATTATACATCCAACAACTTAGGCGATTAGCGTGAGCGGTGAAATTCCTGGCACACGTCGCAAAATCAGGGTAAAATCTACCGTTTGTATTGGTTACATCCTTAACGACCATAACGAGACTTTTGATTGATGACTCAAATAACGAGTTTTTGCCTTTGTGTCCTTAGAATGTGACAATTCAGCGAAATTTAATGAGTTCACAATATTGCTATTAAGGGGGCTTTCATTTATTAGAGCATAGGGGGGGTTGGCAAAATTGCGGGGGGGGGGGGGTTAAGTAGTTTTCAAATGTTCAATAGGGGGGGTTATACAATCTTTAAATATACATAGAGGGAGGGGGGTTATACAATCTTTAAATATACATCTGCAGTTAGGGGGGTGTTGCTTAAAAGTTACAAAATAACAATAGTATTTTAAAATGTTCAGTCATATTGTGAATAAATGTGTCTATTCTGGCATATTCCTGTTTTTTATTAACGCTAAAATATTTACTATGTTACAAAATATGCATATGGAGGTGCATGCAAATTGATGTTTTTTCACGCCTGTTCTGCTTCGTCGGCATCAGTCGAATCGGTATTGTTAAAGTCTGAGTCGGAAGGCCATGTTTCATTTAAATCTAGCAACTCATTTTCAGAATCACTGTCGTTTTCACTAGATGGTACCTCGTCCGCAACAACTGCTCCTTCACAATATACATTCTTATTAAAGTGAGATATAATCATGTTGATCTTGTCCTTTTTTGTTCGCTTATTTAATATTACGCCTTCAAGTACTTATCCAGTTCGCTTATTTAATTATACGCCTTCAAGTACTTATCCAGCTCGTACACATGCAGATCGCTTAACTTTCCCTCTTCAATCAATGCTTTCCAATCATAGTCGGCGAATTTTTTTCCCCTTTTTTCCTTTGTTCTTTTCTTTCTTTCTTCGTTCCGTAAATTTGCAGCAACTGCGTTCTCTTGTATATGCTTCACAGCCTCAATTACTTGTGTCTCAGGAATTATGAACTTCTTTGAGAAAACTTCAATACTGTTGTCGCCAAGGATTAACTTCTTGTCCTTCACTAGTTTTTTAATATTTGCCCTCGGCTGCATGTCATCAGGGGATCTTGGTTTGCCATCTATTTTCATCGGAGTGTCAAACACGTCAAGATAATGAAAGTCATCTTTATTGTAATTGGGAAATGGTCTAGGAATGCGACCACAGGATGGTCCAACAAAATTGTGCTCTTTGCACCAGTCACACAACTGATTTTTCTTCTCAAGACAGCCATGCTTAACATACTCACGGTATAGCTCACCAGACTCAGTATGATCACAATCAAACTCGATAATCTTCTGCATGTAATAATAACCAGGAATTTTTTCCTTTGTATCTGCACTTTGTGTTTTATAAAACCTCTCCAGATATTCCTTGTTCCAAAAGAAAGCATCTGAAGGGCGAATAGCAACAAATCCTTTCATATATTCTCCCATACATGGAGCACCATCGACTCTTAAAGCAACCTCACGCACCATGCATTTTTCTTGTCTCTTAGTTCTTCACATATGTTGTAGTCCTCTAGTGTTAATCCCGCGATTTCTTCACTTGTCAAATTTTCAAATCTCTTGTGTTTCTCCCACTCAATTGTGCTACCATCACAAACAGCATTACTGACACCAGAGTTGGTTTATTCGGCTTCATTTTGACCAGAATCTCCTCTTGAGCCATGCAAAATTATTCGCATGTCTGCACAGTACATCTTTGACTCGGGAAAATCGTATTTTGGTAAAACCCGCGCGTTTTCCTTCGCAACCGGGGTCAAAATCTTTTGCGTCCGTGACCCTTCGAATCCAACAGAAGTTCCTGGACGAAGAAAGGCATGGTCATCTCGGCTTTCAATAATCGCAAACTTTTGAGCATTTTCTGGGACTTTTGAAGAGAAGAGAAATCTTTTCATATTTTTTATATGAGAACGTTGATGGTGGGTGTTTTCGTTGTCCAAATCCTCTGCTTTTGGGGGCTTTTTGCAGCTCCACAGACCCTTTCCTACATGTCTTGAAGCCTGGATGGTTCCAAGCCGTCTTGGGTTTGACCGATTCCATATTGCAGTGGTACTCCGTAGAGGGGCTTTGCCTTTGTCTGCTCTCCGTTTATTAAGTATTTTAAGCAGGTTTTTGCACTTTACTCTTCTATTAATGAACATTGTTGTCTCCTTCCTTCGACCATGATATGTGGCTTTTGATTCAATACATCTTGCTACAAAGGTCTCTTCATCTATGGCATTAGGTCTCCCTTGCCCCAGCTTTCTCCTTTTAATTCGCTTCTTCTCATTTATATTCTTTGCTTCTCTAATAACTTTTAACTTAAAGCTAGTTGAATCAGGGCTTTTAAGTTCGTCTTCCAACTTTGCTTTATGGTTTTGGAGATCTTCAATCTCATCTTCAAGCTCGTCAAGAACAGTTTGATCCCAAGTGCGTTTTCGTTTATTGACTTGATTCTGTCGTTCTTCTACTTTCTCTTGAATGCACTTTGTTTTCTCTTTTAGCTTTTGCTCTACCTTAGTTTGGGCTTCAACAACTGCACTTTCACATTCTTCTATAATCTTTAAATTCTTATCTGTTTGTCGTACAACCTTTTGTGGGTCAACACCCGCCTTTCTCATTTGTGAATGGGACATATTCACAGAAAAGATCCATTTTGCAATGTTGCGATCGTACTCTGTGTCCATAGTTCGTGTAATCTGTTTCAGAGTGTTCTTGCCTAAATGGAATCTTTCCTGTTGGTTATCCTTGCGTTGTTCCTGAAGTTGTTTACTATGAATCAGTAAACCTGGTAAATCTACTATGTTCTTAAGAACTATGTATCTAACATTTACTATCTTGACAATGTTCACTGAAAGTCCGATCTGTTCATCCAGGATGTCAAGAGTGAATCTACTTTCATCTTGTTCAAATAATATTTGCGAAGAGTATAATTGAAAGGCATCCTTAAATGTCAAGAAACCTATAACAGCAAATCGAGTTTCTTTGTCTGCTTCCAAGTAATCTGGGAAGTTTCCTCTTGGCATCAGGAGATCATTAAGTACGTCCCTCAATCCCAGCAATCTTTGTAGTTTATATTCAGGTCGCGTACTTCTTTCTTTCCTTGTCCACTCATATTCAAACGAATTTAGCCTTTCCAGGTTTACAAAAGGATCATTGCAAGGACAGAGAGATACTTTTATTTCAGGATCGTCTGGATGGGTAGAATATTTCCTTGTCTCTGACCTTCCGAGCTTGTGACCTATTGTTTGTACGCTGTTTGCCATTTTTAATATATCCAAATTTTAATTGTTTTCAAAGTGTAAAATATTAAAAAACTTTAATGCTCCCAATCAAGTCACGTGTACACACGAAAAATTCCTCGGTGAAGGAAATCTTGGCATTCTGAGATATGGGATAGAAATTAAGTTTGATTATATTCGTATCGTATTCTTCGCGCACAGAAGGTTTATAATAGGGTTGGGATTAGGATCAAAATGAAGGAAAAATACATAGTCATGCACGAACGATATTAACAACCAAGGATTTTGCCCGAAATTCTGAAAGACATTTTTCGATAAAAAGGAAATTTTACCAAATGAGGAAGGAATTTTACTTCTTTGTGCTCATATAATGAATATTCAATATGGCGGACAATGAGAATTCTGTTCCGCCTGAGCAAATAGAATTTTTGAAGTGGTTGGAAGATAACAGGTTTTCCCAGTTTCGTGAAAATTTCTGTAGGAACAAAATCAACACACTGCAGAGGCTTTGCTTACTGAAATCTGAGGAGCAGCTTGCTCGAATTGGGATTGACAGCTTTGGTGACCAACTCGATTTACTAGATTGTATTTCCAAACTGAGAGCGTTACAAAATGCTACGGAAGCAGTAGGACAGGGCTGCCAAAATCAAACCCAGCAAAACAAAAGCAATCTACCCTCAACTTTGGTCAGACTTCCAAACCGAAAACAACACCGGACACAAAGGTGAGAAAACCCTATGACGAGTACATGTACAGGAATCCAAAGTGGCCAAAAACAAAGTTTTTTAACGAAATCACTCCAAAACTTTATGACAATTACGGAAAATTTTTGTCTGCACATCAACAGGCTAGCTATATAAGAAAAGAACGAGAAGCCAGGTGGCAACGACTACAAACTTTCGAGAAGTTTTCAGGCAAGTTTAATGCTATGTTCAATTCTGAATACTCAGGTGGTTATTTCAATTTTCTTGACAAACCAGCTATTCCTCGTCTGACCCATGTAGATCACTGTGAAAAGGGAATTTGTAATACAAAACGTTTGAAAGATGAAATTGAAAAGGAAATAACAGAGAGCAAAGGCTTACTTGGCAACTGTTTTGGTTCTGATATGAAGGCCAAAAAAAATATGGACGAACAAATTTCCAATTATCAAAGCCATTTGCAGAACCTCAGGTTGCTAGATGAGAAAGTGGGAGTGAATTTGCAAAAACTGGAGGCCACTTTGGCACATTTGAGGAAAGTCTTTGTGCTTACAGTGCAAAGTAGGTCGAAATCAACTAACAGTAGAAAGAAAAAGGAGGGCAAACACAAGGCCAGAGTTGCAAAACACAAAAGAGCAGTGAAAAGTGCCAAACAAATTCGACAACATGTGAAAATATCTGATTCTTTGCAGTGGACCAATAATGATATCAACAGTATCGAATTGAATAAATTAAAAATAAAACATCACTTGCATGGACTGAAATACATTTTAGAAAATGATGATTTGGATCAAGGGGCAAGAAATGTTTTGAGACAAAAACTAGAGGAGTGGCTCTGTGACTATACTGGGGCTGTCATCTCTGATGATGATGATGATGATGATGATGATGATGATGATGATGATGATGATGATGATGATGATGATGATGATGATGATGATGATGATGATGATGATGACGATGACGATGACGATGATGACGATGACGATGACGATGACCAAAGTAAAATATATTGTTCCACTTCGTTGCTATGCAAATGTAGATACTTCCAAACGCTTAAAAATCACAGACGATTTACGAAACGGCTGTTTTTTAAAGTATATTAAATCATCATTTTGAAAATGCCACCCCGACCTCGCAAGCAATTGGACTCGAAAAGGATCGAGGATTCACTTCGAGCAAACATTTTGCCATTGGTAAGTTTATTGAGCAAACTTAATTCATTGTAGTGGCCCTGTGGTCAATAATAGCATGTTATGCAGCTGAATTCACGGCAATTCATGGAGTCAATTTATTAAATTCGTCTAGATCACCGAACAGTTGGAAGCGGTAGCATGCCGTGCTGTTTGGAGAGTTCGTGAAACAGACATTGACATCGCAAGAAATCAGATCGCTTCAAAGCGACTTCGCCTTGACCAAGTGGTTTCTTCAATGAACGGCGTTCAATTCTTTTTTTCCTGCGTTACAAGTGTCATGTGCAACGCAAAATCCGCGAAAGACGACGACAACGAAACAAGTTACACGCCTGAAAGCTACCCAGCGATTGCCTACTTCGTCGTGTACAAGGAATGCGCAACTTGCAACGAGAAGATCTTGTTTTCCACCATTCACAACGAAGAATTAGATGCAGAGGTATCGCGAATTCGAGTGCGAAAATCATCCGATAGCAATAATGAAATGGAAAAAGCTGCAAAACAGTTATTCCAAGTGGTCAAGGATCACAGCAACAACACCATCCAGGAGATGCTCCAAATATCAAACGCGTATTGCTACAAGAATTCCGAGGGAACGCCGTCAGATGATGATGAAGAGGATGATCAACCCGAGTTTGTTTCAACTCATTTCCCCAATGTCCCCTGCTGTATAATCGTCGTAAACGAAAGCGAGTTTCGGGATCGTGTGGCTACAGCAGTTACAAAGCTGGAATCAGACGGACTTGTTGTTGATCTCGGTAATGCATGCGTTGTAAAGTTGGACAATCCACCGTTCTCATCCAACAACGATGTCGCCGCCTTGATAAACAACATCGATAAATGCATGAAGTTATGCGACCACGCCTTATATCGTTCAGAAATTTACACCAAACCAGAGGGTTCAAATTTAACGTTTGTAAAAATGATGGATGTAACTAGTTACTTGCATAAACTTCTGGCTAACGAAGTGTTGCGTGACAAGCTGATTCAGCATTTTCAAGCGGTCGATAGACTTCTGTCTCATCCAGCATGCGCAATAATTCAGCAGATCAAATTTGACGTGGATCTCATTGAAGTATCAAACGGGTACTGTTTCTCGATCAAAGCCCGAAAGTTCATCGTCTGTCCTATCCCGGAATCCATGCGTGGAAAACTGTCGCCAAGATCTTTTGTTCCATATGACAGTTCCAAACCGCCGAAGCCTGGGTATTTTCGAGAAGGCATTGTCAACTCCTTTCCCGACGACGACGTGCGAGTACGGTTCCTGAATAAACTCTATCAGTGCCTGCTCGCGTTCAGCATGCCTCACAAGGTGAGGAAATTGGTAGTGGTTGGCCCCAAAGATTCGGGCAAAACATCTTGGTCCAACATATTCCATCGTGTTATTCCCGCCAGCTACATTGCGTCGCTCACAAACGAGAGACAATTTTCTGCCGCTATGATTAACAACGAAACTCAGCTGGTCCTCGTGGACGAGTGGTCGGCGAGCACGATGCAATCCGACCTTGCCAAATGCATCCTTCAAGGCGGATGGATGGTCTCTGCGGTAAAGCACGGCCTACCAAAGACGGTATTAAATAATAGCCCCTTCTACACCACCACAAATAACCTCCCGAATTTTGGTAAAGAAGAAGACGATAACGTGAAGCGCAGAATTGAGATATTCACAACAACGTCATTGCCTCAAACTCTACCGGGAATCGACAAGTGGATTTATGACCACGCGATGGATTGCATTGCGTGGATAGCGGAAGAAATCAACGCGAACCGCGAGCACATCGATCGACATGAGCTCTGGTACGAGCCAAATCACTCTGGACCGTTGACGATTGCTGCAAACGAGGGGGAAAGTCTGTTCAGTGACGAACACGTGCGACGCATATCCAATGCTGATTTGCGCGAGGAGGACGCTCCTATCGTTGAGGAATTGTCGCAAACAATCCACGACGGTTTTGCGGTGGAGTTACGTTCGCGACGTCTCGCGCGGAAGAGAAGGGCCGCTCGTGGGGAGTTAAACAGCGACGACGATAGCACAAGTGAAGAAATACAAGAACATAACAACTCCTCCTCCGATGATGATGAGAAACGTAGGGACGACATAGAAGGATGCCGGTTGACTGAAGACAACGTTGTCAAAGAGAGCCCTCAAACGAAGTCGACAACATTAGCAGAAAGTAGAGACGGAGAGACAACTCACAACGAACGCAGCAAGACGACTACGGTGTCAGTGGAACAACCGTTGAATGACGACCAACTATCGAATGACGAGGAAACAATGGACAGTGGAACAGAGAGAACTGACAACGCACGTACCAACACAGAAGCAAGTGCGGTAACAGTGGAACAACTGTTACCGGTAAAACTCCCACAACCAACAAACGAAGCATCGCCTGATGAGGAAGTTATAGACAGCCAGACTATTCGTACCTATTCACCTCCAGCAGGATGGGTATTGAACGACAAAACGTATATGTCCAAAGTCGCATGCTTTATTAGATATGGCTTTATGAAAATGAAAAAAGGCGAACTCTACTCGTTTAATGAACGAAGAGACAAGGCCAAATTAAAGCGCACAAAAAAGAACGTGATTTTTGGACTATTGCGGACCCAAACATTGATGCCTGGATGCTCGTAACTGGACAAAAGCGAGATGTTTTCAACATCGAATCGTTCGTGCAACAGAACCGTGAAATCGTGGAAGAAATAGGACAAGTTCGAAAGAATGTGAAAGTGCTTATTCTAAGAAGTCGATGCCCCCTCGTGAAGGCACTACAAGAAATTGAAAGGCGTGAACGGGGAGAGGAGAGCGAAGAACAAGTTGAAGTTCCATCGCAAACGTATTGGACAACCTTCAAAAGCTGGAGACCGTGGTAATTAATGCAACTATAGACACTTTTTAAAGCGACACTTTATATACTTATTTTAAAACGCGTGTATCAATGACAAGCATAGTCACTTTTGTGTGAATTGTTATGAGCAGATGTTGTTGCGACCTATTTGATATACCATGTATCATAATATTGTATGTAAAGAGAACTTCACTAATACACAAACAACCGGTTACAACATCTACATTTGTATATGTATGAAGTTAAATTAGTTTTCTCAATTTTGGGCTACGGGCTACTAATAGAAATGCCAACAAAAACGACGGGCTACCTGTCAAAATCACGGGCTACCTCTTGTTGGTAGCCCGGCGTTGAAATTTTTCTAAGTGTCGACTGAAATTAGTTTTCTCAATTTGTAACGGGCTACGGGCTACTAATAGAAATCCCAACAAAAACGGCGGGCTACCAACGGGCTACCTGTCAAAATCACGGGCTACCTCTTGTTGGTAGCCCGGCGTTGAAATTTTTCTAAGTGTCGACTGAAATTAGTTTTCTCAATTTGTAACGGGCTACGGGCTACTAATAGAAATCCCAACAAAAAGGACGGGCTACCAACGGGCTACCTGTCAAAATCACGGGCTACCTCTTGCTGGTAGCCCGGTGTTGAAATTTTTCTAAGTGTCGACTGAAATTAGTTTTCTCAATTTGTAACGGGCTACGGGCTACTAATAGAAATCCCAACAAAAAGGACGGGCTACCTGTCAAAATCACGGGCTACCTCTTGCTGGTAGCCCGGCGTTGAAATTTTTCTAAGTGCCATATGCACAAACTTTATTGACGTAAATAAATAACTAATGTCAGCTATGGTACTGGTTAATATTATAAATATATATAATTATATATAATATACTTTTATTTTTATAAATATATATATATATATATATATATATATATATATATATATATATATATATATATATATATATATATATTACAATAAATATATTATAATTCTATATATATAAATAAATAAAATAATTGTTATAAATATATCAGTATAAAATTCTAATTGTTATGAAACTAATGAAAATATTATTATATGTACTAAAGATAATATTATACCAAACATTATTATTTAATATTCACAGTTCAATGCTCAATATAATAATTCAACTTTTCAATTAGTATTTTAAACTTAGGAAACATTCAACGCCGGGCTACCAGCAAGAGGTAGCCCGTGATTTTGACAGGTAGCCCGTTGGTAGCCCG